AGAAGGGGGTTCCCAATTCACTGTTCTTTATGTCCCTTGACTTGACCTTCTGGGAGAGAGTCCTTCCTTTATTGCATTTTTTAGTTATATCTGAAAAGGGTATTGGAGAACATGTACTCTTTGGAGGCTAATCAGTGTTCTTAGCTCATTGCCTGTGTATAGAGAGCTGTAGCCAAAGAGACACGTTAAATTTTGACCAGGCTTTTGGCTCCTTTGGCAATACAATTATCTTATAAACCTTACTGGTTTCTTATCTCTTAGATTCCAGTCAGCCTTCTTTGCCAATAGCCATACCACTGTTCTTTCCTTGACATATCTCCATTTATCTATCTCTTTAATTCCAGGTACCTTGAGCTTATGAAGCTTGGTGGGAGACCAACACCTTTATTCCCTGTTTTCTAAGCCATTTCATCCAATTGAAAGGACTTATTGGGTGATATCTCAATCTATTTAGAGATTTTAAAGATAGGTGTGACAGTGATAGGCTTGATTTGATTCTTGACTTAGGGCATAGTTTGAATGGCCTTTTAAAAACTATTATTAAAGGCTTCCATTAGAAAAGTATTTGTTACTGTCAACTCTGCCAGTTCCTGAATTTCTATGTTCTCTTTATTCCTTTCTATTTCTGCTTACACATTAGTCAATTAATTTTTGGGTATTTCTCTTTCATGAAGTATCTTTCAAATACATTCAACATTAACCTACACATGCTATTAACATTTTGTTTTTCAGTATCTTCTGCCGGAGCTATAAACTTACTATGTTTATTATTTAACTTTTAAGTAATTGCAGGTCACAGTTTTATCAGCTATTTCATAGCACACCATGGGTTATCATTCTTCCAGCTGCTAGAATCCGTTTTCTTGCCCCCAGCACTTGACCTCCTAAGTCAAAGTCACAAAAGTCATGCTTTTGTTAAAATACACCTGTCTCTGGCCATCAGTTTTTGTGTTAATCAATATATGCTAGGTTTTGTCAAAAATATTTTTTTTCAACTCCCAAGTGCCTGGAAATTTGCAAAATCTTAGTGTGACCTCAAATGAAGAAGCTGAGACAAAATTAATGTTTAAGTAGAGAGTTTATTTGGGCCAAGCTTGAGGATTGCAACTCAGGAAGATTCAAGTTGCCTTGAATATACAAGCTGATTAGCAGAAGTTACAAATGGATTCTTAAAGGAAGAGTCAGTTCCTGACTTGTTTGCCAAGAATTTACGTTAAAATAACACAAACTATTGATTGACTATACATGGTTGTTGTTGTTGTTGTTTTTCATCATAAATTCTAGGAACACAAAGATCATGGGTGAGGTAGCTAGTCGGGAACGAAATGACTTTGAACAATTGCCGCCAAGCATGGATGTAGAGTGGGAGTTGGGGGGTGGAAGGCAAGAATGACCAAAGTCCCATGCCCTTGTCTCTTTGGGCCTGTATACCTACCAAAGTTCAGACTGCCCTGAGCTATTTTTCTTCTCTCATTTGTAATATAAAATAATAAAAATGTATTTCTTGTTCATGCTGTATGTCTACTGCAGGTTATATATCTCCTAATTCTAGGATACAGTCTAATCATGAAGCAGTCATGATGCTGCACACTGCCAGATTCAAAAGCAGAGAGAAAGAGAATTCTAAACAGTCACAAATTGGCAGTTCAGTGCGCTGGCCCTGAAAGAATTGGCCAGAACTAGACATGTGGTCTCACCCAACCATAAGAGAGCCTGAGAGTGCAACCTACTTTAAAAAGTGCCCTGCAGGCTGAAAGTGGGAAATGGTGCAGCACAATCCAATTGCATATGAACCTCACAATCAAATGTATACTAGGACTGGTAAAGAGAGGCCCAACTTTACTTGAGTTGTAGCCCCCATTCCTAGATTTAAGAGGTCCCCTTAACATCATGAGTGCGTATTATACATACTGTGCACCTTTCTTCTAGACTTCCACAAAGGAAGCTTTGGTGGTTTTATCAGGTAGCTGTGCTAGATACAGGGGAATCCCCAAGGCTTTAACTTATATTTAACCCTGACTCTGAGATAAAAGCAATTCATTGATTCCCAAATAGACTTTTCAGCATCAAGTGATAATTGAAGCTTTGATCAACAAGCCCCACAGGGCGGCAGTCACTCAGGGTAGTTTCTCCAGTTTCTGAATGTACAGAGGGAGGAGAGGGCCTCACTTCCATGGAATCTCCTCCTGGGTCCCTGACTCAAAGAGTAGGTCTACTATAGGAAAAGCCAGCCAGAAGCCACTGAAACACCCCTCCTCAGAAATGAAAAGTAAGTTTCATTTCAAACCTATTAGATTCATGTTCTAGAGAATGTTAAACTCTACAGATCCATCTCAAAACGAAAGGATCATATTCATATTGACAGTTGAGCTCTTCTAATGGAAGTAACCTCATTAAACTCTTCTTAGAAGTAAATGATGGACAAGTAGATAATCTTTGGCAATCCTTTCCAGTTTTGTTTATACATAGTGTTCTTCCGCTCCAACCCAAGAACTAACAAGAAAAATCCAGATTGAATTGCTGTGATTTGGCAGCTTGAAACAACAAACTGGTTTTTCCTGCTCCTAAGCTGTAATTTCAATTAAATCGTTTTGAAAACTATGATGACATAGGAACAAAATATTTGGTAAGTGACACCTGGTAACTCGAGGTTTAATTATCTAAGCATTGAATTTTTTTTCAATATTTTAACCATTTTGAGCAGAAATTTTTTGAAAATGTGTATCACCGTAGTCCCTGCCCTCTTTCTTTCTTGTTTGTTGTCTTTATTTTCTCCTGGGTTTTCTAACAACCTCTGACCTTTATCCATTAAAGTCTACCAGCTTGGCACTGTCTGAAGATATTGATCTAGAGAATGTCACTTTGTGTGCATAATGCTTGCAGTGTCAAGTGCACCAAACATAATTTGATCTGGTCTTAATTTCTCTGGGACACCCTAGGAAACCTGTTATTGTACAATATCATAATGCATGCATGCCTTCAATAGGGTTGCCACATTTGGCAAATGAAATTACAAGACATCCAGTTAAATTAGAATTTCTGATAATCAATGAATTTTTTAAAGTACATCCCCAATACTCCATACTTCATTGTTCATTTGAAATTTAAATTTAACAAGGCCTTGGCATTTTATCTGACAATTCTAATTAGGGACCACTGCGGTACATAGTCCTGTTTGGCCCTGGCTGCCTTTAGACGGATAATCTTGTTCTCATTTGTCTGTCTTTAGGGTGCCAAAATTTCACCTGTAACATCTGCCATGATATAGAAGCCAAAGCTAGTCCTCCAGGCTAGTGCCCCAGATTGCTGTTAGTCTCTCTTTCTTCATGTTCATCTCTTTTCCTCACTAATACTTCTTATCTCTATTGCTGCTTTTACTGTCTGCCAACTTTCTTTTATGTCTCATTTTTTCTTGGCAGTTAAGTGTAATATTTTAAAATATGGACTTTAAAGGAAGACATAAGGATTAAAATCCCAGCTTATCTTTCAGTAGATGTGGGAACTTCAGCAAGTTATCTACCTGTAAACCTCAGTTTCTCTTTCTGTAAAATACAGGTACTAATGCTTACTTTATAAGCCTGTTGTGAGAGTTAAATGAGAAAATATACGCAAACCAGTAAAGGGTAATAGGATTGTTCTCATCAAAAGAGCTTCAGACCTTGGGTACTGACTTGAATTGTTGGGTGTCCAGACTTGTAGTTCAGGCTCAGTTGACATTCTTGCCCTGGTGAGCTTTTGTACCTTCCCCTCTGCCCTCTGAAGTTAGGCTGAATAATCAACTGACAAAAGTTAGATTCATAAGACAAGAGGCAGGCTGGGCACTGTGGCTCACAGCTATAATCCCAATACTCTGGGAGGTTGAGGCAAGATCACTGGAGCTCAGGAGTTTGAGACCAGCCTGCACAAAATAGTGGGAACCCATATCTACAAAAAAGTTAAAAAAATATTAGCAAAGCATGGTGGCATATGCCTATAGTCCCAGCTACGCAGGAGGCTAAGGCTGGAGGATCACTTAAGCCTTGGAAGTCAAGGCTACAGTGAGCCATGAAAAGGATTGAATGCCACTGCATTCCTTCCATGTTGACAGAATGAGACTCTATCTCAAAAAAGTAAAATAAAAAGAAAAAAGAGAAAATGCATAGAAATTTTAGTGTGCATGAGAAATCACAGAGTGATTACCCTTAACCCTCATGTAGTGCAGAAGGGTATATACCATCTTTAGAAAGAATGAGAGCTCGAAGCATGGCCAAAAATAGATTGTGGTGGTAAATGAGGTTAAGCGGCAAAACAAGTTACCGGAGGGAGAGAAGTAGAGGCCTGACTAGCAAAGGTAGGTAGCAGCTCTCAGAGCAGATAGATGGCAGAAGTTTCTTTCACACCTTTAAAGGTGTCAGAATCTCAGTTAATCTTTCCTGGATCTGGACAAGGAAGGGCCTGAGAGAAAGCCTGGCTACATTAACGCAGATTCTCTACAGATACAAATATGCCCTGCAAGAGATGGTTTTGCAGGGCTACTGAGCTACATTTTTTTTTGTTGCTGTGTTGTTTTTTTGAGACAGGGTCCTCTTGCTCTATCACCCAGGTTGGAGTATAGTAACACCATCGTGCCTTAATGTACCTTGAGCTTCTGGGATCAAGCAATCGTCCCACCTCAGCCTCCCTCCTGAGTAGCTAGAACTAAAGGCATGTGCCATCACGACTGGCACATGTTTAAATTTTTATTTTTGTAGTGATAGGGTCTCAATATGTTGCTCAGTCTGGTTGCAGTCTCCTGGGCTCAAGCAGTCTGTCAGCCTCAGTTTCCCATTCTAACACATTTATTTTTCTACCATCTCACTTTTTTTCTAAGCATGTCTCTCTTGGAAATAGTTTAATCCTTTGCAATATAAAGCAACATAGGCTTAATTTGTAGCAGCCCCGAGTTAACAAAAAAGAGATAATCCGGTTCTCGTATTTGATAATCCAGCTGCACCGGGAGTACTGATTTCAGCCGGTTCATCACCTGAACGGGCTGCAGTGGTTAGAGGGTTTCCAACACAGCTACTGGAAGGCCTTCAAAGGTAATGCTGTGTGATCCATGCAGCCAGGAAGGGGTTGGCCCCTCAAAACTCTGAAATCCTCTGGCCCGGCTTTCTTTTTCCTCTCCCTGTTGATGGCACGAGGCCCAGTGGTGGTACGGCTTTGGGTTTCCCTCGGTCTCAAGGTCTCAGTCAGGGTGGCAGAAGTGGAAGAACAAGTCTTTTTCCAGACCCCTTGTTGGCTGGCAGCCTTTGCCATAGCTAATCTGGTTTGTTTTCAGGTCAGGGACAGTCGCTTTTAGGAGCAGATTCGTTTGCTTTCAAAATCCATCTCCCCGTTCCTCTCAGAGTTCTTTGGCCCAAAGGACTTTGCCCTTCCTTTCGCAGCGGACACCTTGGCACCCTCTGCCAACAGTCCCGCAGAGGCCCGCGACGAGTGCCACTCCATCGGTGTCGCGCCCTCAGGAGGGGTCTAGCAGAAAGCAGTGCCCCAGGCGTTCATGCCACGGAGAAGCAGGAACCAGGGGCTGACAGCCGAGCAGCCCAGGTGCGTCGCCTTAGGGACGGAGCGGGCAAGGGCCGAGCCGGGGCTGCCACATCGAGCCGGGAACGGTATTTGCCCGAGTCGAGGCGGAAGCCGGAGCATTTGCGGGACAGGACCGCGGGAACCCGGAAACGCCTGGGCTGCACCGAGCTGGCGGCGGCTACGGCTAAGCCAACGGGAGCCGGCGGCGCTGCGGGTCAGCGGTCGCGTTGGACCCAGCGGGCTCGGCAGTCTGGGGCCCCCGGCGGAGCTGAACCGCGGCCCCCGGTGGTGGGCTCAGCCGGCCGAGCTGCGCGGGAGGTGAGTCCTGAACGCACCTGGGCAGGGGCGGGAGCCAGGAGGCCAGCGGCAGCGGGGCGGCTTGGGCAGCTCCGGGAGCTTGGAGGAAAAGGAGGAGGAGGCATGCGAGGGGGCAGCTGTGAACTCTGCAGGGCCGAAGGGGACGGTGTCCAAGACCTGTAATACAGTGCCAGCTAAGTAGAGGTGGGAACAGAGGAGGTGACACGTTGTAACTCCGAGGGATGACGTGCGGAATGTGCTGGGCGGAGGAGGAAAGGAGGCCTAAGGGGAGGGGTGTGTCAGGCGAGTGAAGACGGCAGTGTGCGCCCCGGCTCCCGGGGCGAGCGGAGCGAGTGACAGGTGGGCCGGACCGCGGTCCGTCGGGGCTGTCCCTTCAGTGAGCATCCCTTGGGCTCCCACTCGGGGTTGAGCCCTGTGGTGGGCACGGATCCACCCGACCAGCACCTGGAGTTCGAGAAGCCGCAGGAACTTAAAGAAATGGAAAGGCTGCCCTTGGTAAGGCTCGTAAGAACACAAGGACTGTTTGAGGTGGAGTGAGAGTCTCATCAGAACAGACGTCTGGGTGTGTTGCTTTATAGAAGAAGACTGGATCTTTTATTATATTCTCTTAAATGCAGTATTTGAAAATTTAAGTCTTTTTGTTTTTGAAATCAACATGCGGCTTTGGTAGTTAAAGATGAAATTTGGTGCAGTTTCTTACTTGGTGTTCTTAATCACTTTCACTGGTAAACTCTGGCTGTTTCAAGGGAATGGCTTGTAAACTTCCATTTCTGATGCTAGGTTTCCTCCCAACTGTTGATTCTCTCTTCAGCATCTCAAATTTAGTTTTTCCCTTTTTCATTCTCACCACCTCGCTGCTAAATATGCTCGTCTTTCCTCTTCTTACTTGCATATACCAATAACTTCCAATCTGGACTTGCCCTCAGTTTTCCAAACTGGACTTGTCCTCACTTGCCTCCATATTACTTTCAAAGCCAAAGATCTTATGCCTTCTTTTTTTGGTTATTCTTTCCTCAGAAATACGCAGTGACTCTCGACCGGCTTCAGAATAAAAGTAAATTATTTAGGGAGGCATTTAATAAATTTTATATTACTTAGGGAGGCTTCAAATTTTGCCTTCAAAATTTGAGTCTGTCCATGGCTCCAGTAAAATCGATATGATCCTTTAATTCCTTTTTCTTTTTGCAGAAGTTTGAAACTGGATTCTATTATTCTTTTAAACAAATATTACTTTATTCCACATATCCTATTTTTTAGCCAAACTGAAGTTGTTGATTAGACGTCCAATTTCTGAACATGCTATACGCCTGTCTGCCTCGGTCTTTGCTTTTATCCTTTCTTCCTACCAAGAAGAAACAAAGAAGGCCTTCCTTGCTGTCTTTGTAGAAATTCTACTTGCTCTTTAATGCCTTAAATGCCACCTCTTATGCAACTTTCTGAAATCTGCCGTGAATCTAGTTCATTCTCTTTTCCTTTTCTTTCTTTTTTTGAGACAGAGCTTTGCTCTTGTTGCCTAGGCTGGAGTGTAATGGCGCAATCTCAGCTCACTGCAGCCTTCTCTCAGGTTCAAGCGATTCTTCTGCCTTAGCCTTCTGAAGTAGTGGGGATTACAGGTGCCTACCACCATGCCCAGCTCGATTTTTTGTATTTTTAGTTGAGAAGGGGTTTCACCATGTTGACCATGGTGGTCATGAACTCCTGATCTCAAGTGATCCATCTGCCTCTACGTCCCAAAATGCCGAAATTACAGGCATGGGCCACCACACCCAGCCCATTCTTTCTTCCATGTGTGCTAGGCTTTATAGCTCTTATAATACTTGTTAAATTTGCATTGTACTATGGTTATTTCAGAGTTTTATTATCCCTACCTAAGGAAAATATTTGTATTTATTACTTTTAAAATTTCTTTTTGAGATGGAGTGTTGCTCTATCACTCAGGCTGGAGTGCAGTGGCACAATCTCCGCTCACTGCAACCTACACCTCCGGGGTTCAAGAAGTTTTCCTGCCTCAGCCTCCTCAGTAGCTGGGACTACAGGTGCGCACCACCACACCAGGCTAATTTTGGTATTTTTAGTGGAGATGGGGTTTCGCTATGTGGACCAGCCTGCTTTCGAACTCCTGGCCTCAAGTGATCCACCGGCCTTGCCTCCTGGAGTACTGGGATTGCAGACGTGAGCCACTGCTCCCAGCCTGTACTTACTACACTTTTAAAGCACTTTAGTACATGAACACATCATGATATATTAGACTCTTAAATATTTGTTACATTAATCCCGTAATGAAACAGTCTCTTATTGTGCTCGTGGAGACAAGATGAGCTCTTGAGTTTTTATAGAACCCTACTATAGATTTAGTATTTGAAAATACTTTTGTGTTCCATGTTGTAGTACTTCATTTGATCCTAGTAATAAATCGTTGGGATAGGACAGTTATTATCACCGCAATTTTATAGATAAGAATATTAAAGTTCAGACAGGCCAAATAATTTGCCCTGGGTCCTATATATACTTCTTAGACTGCCTCAATTATATTTGAAATTGATATGATTTACGTCCTGAAACATGTGCCTTTTACTCAGTAGAAACTCAACATGTTGAACGAGGGATTGGATAAGTAATAGAATCAATGGAAAGAATCTTATTTCAACGCCTAAACTTGTTCAATAGCCATGAAGTATAACTTGGGAGCTTTTCCCTTCCTGAAAAGTATAGAGTGAAGGTTCTATTTGATGTTAATCAGCTATGGATGTGTGTGTATGCGTGTGTGTGTGTCAGCGCCAGAAATTTAGAGTAAGTTATATACCTCCCTGGGTAACTGAAATAGCTTGGACATCATCAGACTGACAGTTAATAATGCCATTCATGGGTATGACTTTATTATTAAATAAGGTTCAGGTGAATATGAATTGGCAGCTTAACTTTAGATTTTAATCCTCACAAAAGCAATGTATTCTTAAGTACATTTAACTTAATTACCTCTATTAATGAAGCAGTATAACTTAACTGGTTATATATTTTTAATCATTTTTTCTTTAATGTGTCTTGTTATATAAATTTGAGTGTTTTATATGTAAGTGTGAAAATGACTTTAGAAGCTAGAATGTTTCTTAGCTTCACTTTCCAGATTGTCTTCCCAGAGCTCTTTCTAGTGTATCATCTGTATTGGAGATAGCATCTGAAATGAAACCAATGAGCCAGTTTAAGATATGTTGCTGGGCTGGGTGCGGTGGCTCATGTCTGTAGTCCCAGCATTTTGGGAGGCTGAGGCCAGTGGATCATGAGGTCAGGAGTTCGAGACCAGCCTGACCAACATGGTGAAACATTGTCTCCACTAAACAAAACTTGGTTGGGTGTGGTGGTGCATACCTGTAATCCCAGCTACTCAGGAGGCTGAGGCAGGAGAATCACTTCAACCTGGGAGGCGGAGGTTGCAGTGAGCTGAGATCACACCATTGTACTCCAGCCTGGGCAACAGAGTGAGACTCTGTCTCAAAAAAAAAAAAAAAAAAGAAGGTAAATTGCTGTACTTAGAGATAAGAAGTTTGATTGAAAAGGTATGGTAGGTCAGGAAGAGTAGTAGAAATTAGAATTAAAATGAAGGTGAAATTTTGAGGTCATGTCAGATAAAATACTAAGAAGCAATCTCATTCTACAAAGTGTCCACATATGACTTTATATCTACTCAGAGCCTAGTTTTTTCTGTAAAAGTTATATAAAAAGTTTTTTTTTTCTAAATTTTCATGCACTATAAAACCAATTTCAAACAGCATTTCTAATAGTATTTTCTATCATGAGTAGGTTTCATAAACAAATTCAATGAATAAGGCATTATTATACTACAATAAGGCATTGTAGAATAATGATCACTTTATTTGACTTGTATTCCTTAATCATAACAACTCTATAAAATACATACTATTATTTATCACCATGTTATAGATAAGGGAAAGGAGGGGCAGAGGGATTAAATAATTTACTGTACTTATTAAGTTGTAGAGACAGAATGTGAATCGTCTGAGACCAAAGGCATACTTTTATGTACTATGGTGACTGACCCTCTAATACTTGGACATGCTTTTCTGTTTTTTAAATAATTTTTTGTAGAGACAAAGTCATGTTATGTTGGCCTGGCTGGTCTTGAACTCCTGGTCTCAAGTGATCCTCCTGCTGTGGCCTCTGAAAGTGTTGAAATTGCAGTTGTCATCAGTCCTTAGCCTTGCTTAAACATAGGCTTTACTGCAAAGACTATGGGTTTTGACTGAGATAAATCTTGGTTCATGTCTGAACTCTGACATGTTATGCAAGGCAAGCCATATACTTAATATCTCAGAACTTGTGTTTCTTAATCTGTAAAATGAATACTTCATTTTACAGATTAAATGAGATCTAAATGAGATAATACCTGAAAATCACCTAGCACAATGCCTGACATGCTGTAGGTATTCAAGATTCTTTTATTATTTTTACTTCTCTCATGAAGTCCAGTTATTACTATTATTAGAAAACAGTTAATGTAAACCATTTTTGACCTGCATTTATCTTTTTTTTTTTTTTTTTTTTTTACATTGAAACAGGGCCTCACTCACTACAATCTCTACCTCCCTGGCTCAAGTGATCCTCCCACCTCCTACCTCCTGAGTAGGTGGGACTACAGGCACGCGCCACCACACCAGGGTAATTGTGGTCTGTTTTGTAGAGACAGCTTTCACCATGTTGCCCCCCAGGCTAGTCAGATTTCTTGGCTTAAGTCATCTGCCCACTTTTGCCTCCCAAAGTGCTAGGATTGCAGGCCTGAGCCACCAAGCCCAGGCCCTGCATTTGTCTGTTATGTTACTACCCAGGGAGAGTTATGAAGAAATCACTCTCCCACAATAAATATTGTGGAGTTTATTTATTATTTTATAAGTTTAACAGAGTAAATGCTTAGTATATGACAGGTACTGGTATGAAGAAGCAGGAAATACAGTCAATAAAAGAAGGAAACATATATCATTTGTCAACAGA